GAACAGCCGGGTCCAGCGAAATTTTTTTCTTCCCCACGGACGAGTTGTCGGACCGCCCACCACAGATTAGTGTTGTTGTATATACCTATGGTTGCGTATAATAAGACGGACCTGGTTGTATTATATAAGTGTTCTAGGAGTTAGGGCTCTAGTTTACGGGTTAGGTGCTTTAGTGGTTATACAATTCTGCATTGTTGCCTCTCGAAGAAGTAGTCCGATGCAATTGAAGTGCGCTGACTTTGGCTGGGGTCCGGGAACTGCTCCGTGGAAAAAAAATTTCGCCGGAGCGGGCATGGTGAAAAGGGTCCATATATTTTCTGAATACTATATGTTACATATCTATTATTTATATAAGCATGCTATAGTACGGTTGCGAGGAATTATTGCTCACCTGATTTTTGTGCGCGCGTGCACACCCACACGCCGCACCGCGCACCGCACACCAGCGCCGCTATCACATCGTCCAAACGCCCAGATATAACATCGGGACGCACCAGCACGACGCGGCCACCGCCACACGGAAGACCGGCACACGCACTCACCGCACCGACACACACACATCGACGGCGCGCCGCGAACGCGGCAAGTAATTGCTCGACGATTAATACCACCCCTTATTATTGGCTTGATTATTGATTGCCTATTATTAATTATTGGCTATATATTATTAATTATTATTATTGCGTATTATACACCTTAATATTATTATTGATTATTACTTATTATTACCGGATCCCGCGCAGAGGGTTGGCAGGAGGTTATGTTTTCACCGGCGGGTGTTTGTTCGCTGGCCGGGTGTTTGTTCCCGCGGGTGTTTGTTCTGTGTGTGGGTTTGTAACCCGTTACTTTGTGTTATAACCTTAAAACGTTATGACGGATTGTCATACAAATTTTCAAGGATAGGTGAGACATGGGGCCAACTTAGAATGTGATGAGATTTTGGTGGTGAACCGGTCCAATTCTAATAATGAATAAAATTTTGAGGGATAAGTTCAACGAAAATGGGGGTAATCTTATAATTGAGATTAGATTTCTGAATAGTCGATGCCGGATTCCAATTCAATTAATTAATTAATTAATTAATTAATTAATTAAATTTTCAGGATAGGTAAGAAATGGGGTAACTTAGAATTGATTACATTTTGGTCGTGATCCAGATCCAATTAATTATTTAATTAATTAATTAATTAATACAATTTTTTACAGTGAGAGAATTCAGCTGCCTTGGCGGAGGTCTGCGCTCTCCGAGTGCTCTAGTTATTATTATTATTATTGTTTATTATTATTATTATTATTGCTTATTATACCTTATTATTATTATGCTTACGATTATTGCTTACGATTACTTAGTGAGAGCTTTTAGTGTGGCTCGGGGCAGAAAAGGACAATAATCAAGCGACGGACCATGCCATGTTCCGCAATCCGGTAAAGCAATACCAGTTAAAGTTTTGGGTTAATAAATATATTATTAAGCATAAAGCATCTACCCTCCCACATATATATAGGGTTATAAAGCATCTAGCCTCCCACGTTATTAGAACTAGACGGAGACCATAGCCGCTGTCGTACTCAATGCTCTGATTTTTGTACTTAACACTTCTTGGCACATTTCGCTCGCGCTGAATAGACGCTCTCCATCTATAATTGCGATTCCAGAATTCGCTTTCCATTTTGCGAGTCGAGCGGCAATTTGACAAGCTAATCATTATGACACGAGTGGTAACTCGCGCCAGTGGGAGGCTTCAGGGCACAAAACCCCATTATATATATATTAGTATCGAGAATGACAGCAAGAATCGCCGCTGTCGCTGTCGCAAAACCTGTGTTCGTTCATAGTCAGCCTGAGTCGTCACAGTAGCGATTGCAGATCGGTCAGCAAACCGTGAAATTGCCGCTGGACTTCACGAAATCGTTACGTAATTACCGAGGTAAAGTCACCGCAAAATTTGAGGCACGTTCGTTTCTGGTATACTTAGTCTAATACACACCATCACGCTGTAGCTTTTAAGGTTATATTTGCCGTATAACGCGTGGTAATGCCCATGCGTGCATGTACCGTCAAACAACCCGAACGGTCTAACTTGAGGAAACTAAATCGACCTTTTACAACATATTACCGATTACAAGGTGACTACACTTAGCAACGCATAACTCGTTGAGTTTGCTTCAGTAATGGGCTAGCGTTACACAGATGATCTTCCCAGGCTGCGTTAGCTTTTGCCTAATCGCTTGGTGAAATACGTGGATCGACAAGCGGACCGGCGGGCGGGTGGATGGATGGACGGACGGACGGACGGACGGACGGGCGGGCGGACGGACGGACGCGCATAAGGACGAACCATAGAAATAATATACTAATTAGGCATTAGTGTCTCTATATATTTGCATGGGACGGACGGACGGGCAGACGGTTGGACGGATGGGTTGCTGGATATATGAATAGGGGGCCTATATATAGAAAGAGAGAGGGAGAGAATGGGGAGAGGGAGGCAGGGAGGTAGGTACATAGACAGACAGACAGACAGACAGAAAGAGGGAGAAAGAGAGAGAGAGAGAGAGAGAGAGAGAGAGAGAACGCGCACGCGAGAGAGATACTTGAGGTTAAGGAAAACAAACATAGGGCTGAAAGAAGTTCAGTCTTGCTCTTTTATGTCAGTTGAATTTTTAATATTATAATCGGCTATTTAGCAAAACAAGCATGCGACAATTTCGTCCCGGAAAGATGAAATAATTTTCTATTCTAAAACACATTAAACGGTAATAATTAAAGCTGCAGTTTTAGTACGATTGCTCTATAAAACATATGAATTTAAACATAAAACAACAACACCTTTAGTCGGTTACCTCATCAAGATATTGTTTCCTTTATTATTACGAGCTGTTGCAGAGGAGTTTCTAGTGCAAGTATATAATATAACTATATATTTATAATCTATTCCTATACCCATATGTGTGCTGCAATATATAATTACTATCTTGAGTCAAACAAGAACTGTATAGCGATATAGCGTAATTGCTCATTAAATATGAACGAACGTGATTACCGGTCTACAGAATCGATACTGATATGAATATGGCCATCCTATGCATTCTTTTTCGTATCACGCCAACGCCAAAAGGTTTTGAAAATATCACAATGATTGCCATTTTACTCACGTTGTGCTTGGATAGCCGATGGATAAACCTTGTCATATATACATCTAGCTCATGCATCGTTATTATCCAGAGCGTATTAAGTATGCTTAATATATTAAGTAATATATTATAATATATTAAGTATAATTAATACGCTCTTGTTATTATCTACCGACAATATCCATAACAAAACGGGTAAATTGCGTGCAGATAACATTTGCATGACAACCATTGCTGCTGCAATAGAAAATGGGAGGCAAAGAATCGTTTACAGGGGACAATGCTAATGCTAATTTTTTACATTAACTTAGAAGGAACGTTTAATAATCAGATTATCTTCTCAATCACGTAATCACTTATATGTATATATATGTAAGGCATCTCGTCTAGCATAATGGATGGCACATATACGCATATATGAAAACACACAAGAGTGATCAGCGTGTGTGTGTACACGTATACAGCGTGCATACGCCCAATGTATAACAGGAACGTGAAAGCGTATTCGATATTAGAATTACAATGATGGAGTTTTTTTTTAGCTCTTTTGTCGCGTTTTAATAGATTTTTCGTAGATAAAACAGAACAAAATCACCAACCTTATACGTAGAAAATATTCTGTCATTGATTTTCTGTCTAGGTGCTTAAATGTTATACCGTTACGTGTAATTGTGTATTATAACTATAAGGGAGTCTGTATATTCACCGTAATGACTATTTTGAACAATGTACCAGAGCGAGCTTATTCGGCCATGCGCATACTAAGTGTTTTATTGTGTGGTACCAAGTACCACCTGTGGGCGCGCGTTGTGTGTGTGTGTGTGTGTGCGTGTGCGTGTGGTGTGCGTGTGCGTGTGCGTGTGCGTGTGCGTGCGCGTGCGCGTGCGCGTGGCGTGCGTGTGCGCGTGCGCGTGCGCGTGCGCGTGCGTGTGGTTGTGTGTGAGGTGTGTGTGTGTGTGTGTGTGTGTGTGTGTGTG